TTTACAATTTCCCAGATCAATTTTGGTGACTTCAATAAACGAAGGCCAAGCAACACATTCTAAATCGTTCATTGAACTTAAGAAATCGAGATATTTTATTAATATTCCCATTTGTATTCAATAACAAAAAACAAATATTCTATTTGTGTATTTATTTTTAGCGAAAAGGCTTCTAGGGTGCGCTTAATGTAAAACAGTTTTACGCCGACTCCGAACGGCGATTGTATTTTTATAAGAAGCTGTTTTTCATGGCAGAAATACACTCGCAGGTTTGCCATTGCTTGCCGAGGGACGACCGCTGTTAAGAAATATTGTTTCTATATTTTTTGCGATGTTGCTTTGACCAGGGCTTGAACCCGGGTGCTGATGAGTGAAAGCGCGCACTGCTTACCACTACACCAAATTTATTTGGGAAAATATTCTTTACACGTCCCCTATTAGCTTAAAAACTGACTTACAAACAAACTAAAAGAATAATTTTAGTTTATTCTTTCAAATCGGAAATTTCGAAAAAACTGTAGGAGGTAGTTTAAAAAAATGAGAAGCTGGCTTAAAAAAATTTAATTAACATTAAAAACTGTGAATCTGACAACATTGTCTTGAAGTTAATATTGCTGCAGACTATTTAGATAGTTCTAGATTCCTCACCAAAAATAAAAAATAAAAACCATTTTTAGTGTTGACAATCCACACCTAATAGCAAACCGTTAACGATATCTCGGCACCAAAAACATTTTTTTCTGTTGACCTGTGTAATGAACTTAGATACAAATTTTAAGCGCAAATACCTACTTAGTGGATTCACAGAAGACGTTTTAACACAGATTATAAGGGCGTAGTTTTGTATATAAAAAGGACTTCAAAAATATAGCCCTGAGGTCAACGTTTTCGGTGGCTATTAACAGCATAACATATGTATTTATGTATATATGTAGTTTTAAAGTTGTGTGTTAATTTTTTGAGACTATGTGAATCCCTCAAAAAAGTATTTGTTAAAAAAGAAACACGGCTAATATATAATACACTAATGCCGGATTTCCACTAGGCATTAAATGACACACATTTTAATGACACAGTTGGGCATTAAAAATACCTACCACGTTTCCACGCGGCGTTTTGTAAATGGCACAAATATTTCGCCATTTCAACGCCTAGTGGAAATTCGGCTGCAAAAAGTAGCAAAATTAATACGTTTTTACTTGAGTTTTGCATATTTGTTTATTTCTTTTTTTCTTTTTAATGAAACTAATGCATTTTAATAAATGTTCTAATCATCCTAACACGCAACTGTTCACATTTTCCTTTTTTTAAATGCTAGCTCACAAGGTTGAAATTAGAGCGGATTTTATTCGTTCCGATTTCTTTGAATTTCTTACGTATTTTTTACAGCTTACTAATTTCAATCGATTTTCCCAAACCTATGCATACACAGCAATTGTACACCAACTTCTTATCCTTTTTCCATTTCTTTGCTTTCAAAATTTTTACTTCCAAACAAAATTAAATGAATGATTGTCCTTGTTGAAATCCTATCACTTTTATCTGTTGAATTCTGTTTCAGTTTGGTACTACGTTTGTATTTTGCATTGAATGTGCTGGTGGTGGAAAGCGAGAGATATTCGTTTATCAGATACAATTTATTACTCCCATTATATATATAGTATTATTATGAAAGTCAAAAGTATGAAATTAATTGATAAAATCGAAATTTGTGACATAAGTTCCAAACGGGGAAAAAGGTGTTTATTTCTCATTGTATCACTCGCTCTCCATTGAAAGCAGAATTTGTATTTTCAACTACGTAGTAAATAAGTAAGCATTAATTGCAAAATAACTTTTATTTAGTTGTATAGAATTTCTGGCGTTTTGTCATGTCGTTACTAACTTTATGAGCCATACGTGTACTATTAACCCTAACTTTTATGATATTTAATTATTTAATTTAATGTTATTTTTTATTTATTCGGCAAAAACTTGTTCTATGGTCCTTTTCACTGTGAAGAGCTTGCACCTCAGCTTCCACAGGGCGAGGCACAGTGGCTAATTTTCCAAAAAACCCGGCCAAATGTTGTGCAAAAGTTGTAGGGATGCAAACAATGCATCGAAATTTTTGAAATATCGTGAAATTGATATTTAAATTTTTTAGCATCGCTTAATTGACGATTCAAGGTGAAATTATTAAAAAGGGCCGACCGGCCGTCTACTACACATATTTCCGTAGTAGCTGAAAATTATCTTTAGTCGGGCTCTCAGAAATATATGCCGGCCTTGGATAATTATGCCCATCGTCCTTACGAATTTCTATTCTAATTAGCGCGTTAGGATTGAAAATAATAAAAAAAAAATTGTCTACTGAAATCATCGGAAACCATCGATATATCGATTTTTTTTCCTGGCGGTCAGTTCGCCATTCAATGTTCTTCGGCAGACCTCGCCCACGCGAACATAGCTATAGATTTTGCATAGGCAAGTTCTCTCGGAAGCCCCCAACGATGAGAAACATCTTTGCTCGTCAACGTCCACATTTCTGTGCCATATAAGAGAGCGGCCATGATGAGAGGGATTTTTTGTTTTTTTTTCATTGGTTTATTTTACTTTATTTTAAAACAGAAAAATAAAGAATACTAATTATATATTCCCTGTAATCGTTTGAGCGTGAACCCGCCTGTAGTCAGTTGATGTAGTTATTTCCCAGAGGCATACATTTCTTCCAATTCCATCTGTATATCGCTCACGTCCGTTAAAAGCGTGTTAACTTAAAATTCTTTATTTATCAGAAACCCAGAAAATTGTCTCTACGCTTAAGTTTCAGCTGGACGCTAAACAAAAAGTTGGTGAACATTTATTAGTACGCTTCTGAAGAACGTGTGCGATATATTTATTCTTAGCAAATATTTAGTATGTTTACGGATATATATATATATATATATATATATATCTACGTATTTTGGGTTAACAAAGATAAATATTGTTTTATTTTTCATCTATATAAGTATTTCCCCCCACTTTTTTAAGTGCTTAAGTGTTACTTTAAACTTGTGCAAACAGCCAAAAATTTATTCGCCCAAGGTTAAATTTATTTTTATTTTTTCACCTCAGATCGCCCGACCGACTATCGCAACGACAGCTCTGGCAATGAGGGCAATGCTTTCAATACCGATGGTCAGAATTCCGACCCTCAAAATAGTCCTCCACGCACCGAGAAGGATTACATGCGTTTGCAATTATTGCAACAGCAGCAACAACAACAATTAACTCCAGTGAGCGGTGGCGGGGGTAACAATAGCAACGCATTCACTTTTAGCGAGAAGCGTTCGCGACTCTTTCGCACATCAAGCAATACACCCAGCGGTGCTGGTGGCGGTGGTGGCGCCATGGGTATGGGTAAGAAAAAGCAAACACTCAGTTTAACGGCTGAGCCGCGTTCAGTATTAGAAACATGTCTGTCGCCGACGAATGTGGAGCCGCGAAAGATGCTACTCGATCAACTGAGCCGCATATTTGCCAGCGATGACACTGTGCTACCAGATGTGGTCACAATAATCAGTCCGCCTGAGGCGCTAAGTGGCAGTGCGCTAATCCCTAAGCTGACCACATTGTTGGCAAACTCATTTAAGCCGGCATTTATGCCGCAAAATACTGCGGAAGTGAAGGCAGTGTTGCAGGCATTGATGGGCAAAATACAGAAATAGTAAGACATAATTAAAATTAAAAAAAAAAAAAAATGTCGATCTTCTTACTAATGGTATTTTTATTCTGCTTACAGCTGCAACTCGAATGCGAAGCCACCAAATACGGTGAAGATTTTACTACTGGGCGGTGATTGGCTGCAGGGTGCTGCGTTGCGCCACTACGTTGAGTTGATGGGCGTGCGCCCGCCAGACTGGCTGAATCATTTGCGTTTCTATATTGTGCCAATCGGCAGCGGTAGCACGATTGCGCGTTATCTTAGCCAAATCGATTTGACATACGGTGCCATGTTTGGTTCGGACAATTGGTATCAATTGTGCGAGCGTGTTGCGGCGACAGCAGCGGCCGTGAGCGCTGTGACGACGGTGAATGCCTCGGCGCTGTCAACAACGCTCGGCGATTCGGTGACGGCGAACAAGTCGGACATTGTGGAGATGGTGCAACGCATACAGCGATATCTGCACGCAGCCGGGCCATGCACACAGATACCCATCGGCGAGGCGATGGTTAATTACAAGGACGAGGATTCGTGTCAAATATTTGTGCCATTCGTCAGTGTGAGTATCAATAAAATAGTTTACATTTAAATTTGTGCATATTTGAATAAATTTTATTTCTATAGGATGTACGTATTGGTTACTTGGAAGGCCCACAAGTCTCACTTGATCTCGAAGAGAATGCCGCACAAACTGGTGGTGCTGGCGCGCAGCAAGCGTTAAACATGTCGAGTGCCATACCCATTGGAAGTGCTAACACAACAAATATGGTTGGCGTTGGCAGCGGCGGTGTAGGAAATAATGCATCATCCGGTTCGCCACCACAAAGCGGACGTATTTCACCACCCCAGCAGACACCACCTTCTTCGGCGAATGCGTTACGTGATCGTGGTGGTGATTCGATAAATACGCCACCAGCGCAATCGACAGCAGCGCCCGAGTCGGTAGAACTGCAAGTGGACTATTGGCCAATTATCCGACCGGGCGACCATACACCCAAGGAAAAGAGCATCACACGGAGCGGTGATCAAGGTGGCAAGAATAGCATTAAGAGTACGTTTAGGAATCTACAAGTTTGGCGGCTACCGCAGAATGCCCAATTGGGTGAGATGTCGTATGGGTTGACCGTGAATTTCGCCACCAAGGAGAAGAAACAGAAGCAAAGTATGTTAAAATGGAGTGTTGTAGTGTGGTTAGTGGGAAGCGTTGTATGTTAATCAATTCTCTTGCTTTTGAATTGTAGTAATGCGCCTAGGCAAGAAAAAGGAAAAAGACCGCGATCT